AAAAAAAATCTTTATGTTTTCGGTCATTATTTAGGATGGCAGGTAAATTACTTGAACTTTTGTGAGGCTGAAAAATACATTAATAGTCTGTGAAGAAAACATTAAATGTCAATTTACAAACATTAAGCAAACATTTTAAAAGTTAGAATTAAGAGTCTTTGAGGTAATTTCTTTGTAGGTAAAAAGATTTGGTATCTAATAAAGCTAAATTTAGTAAAAGCCTTGTTTGCCAATTTTAAGTTTTTTTGTAGAGACTGACTGTGGCAGATGTGGGTGATATTTATCATGGTGCTTGGTGTGAGGGTAGTTCTTCCTGTGCAGCGTATTTAGTCTGACAAAAACGCACAAGCAAGGTGCTAGGTGTGGAAGGCTAGGTAGTTCCCAAACACACAACTTTTAACTTGAAAGAAAAACATGGACCAGGCATTGATGATGACAGCCTTGATCAAGGTCATCTTAATAATTTTTAACTGTGAATGGTCAATGAAATGAGAGCAATAAATAGTTTTTGCATTCTTTGTAAACAATTGATTATTTATTATAAGTTAAGCAGATTTAACATTTTTGACTCATGTCAGCCCTGACACAGTAAGCAGGGTTATACAACATGTTGCAAAAGGCCTGTTGCATTTGCTACTATTATAATTCATAGTGAAACAGCCATACATGAATACTTTTCAATGTCATACCGGACGTTGTTAATAATATAAATTAGTATAATAAACAGCCTAATAGATAAACAATAAGCAAAAACAAAGAATACATATTGTCTATAAATGTATAAATGTGCATAATTGTACTTACCCAAATTGAAATGTTGCAACATGAAAAGATATTAACTTTCCCCTTTTTAAATCTAGTGTAGCTGTTTAAAAAAATATTTCAGTGTTTTCAGTTGAGTTGAGTTCACACTGCAAACCTTTTCTCTTATGTGCTAGCTCACATCAGTTGTGGCCTTTTTATAGTTGAATGGAATGAGCCCTAATAATGTACCTCAAGTATTTTTCAGAAAGACTGTGGCATCTTAGTGTTAAGCAATGCCAAATGACAGAAGAAAATCTATCAGCCGTCAGGCTGTCAGTTTCTTGGCTTAGAACTACTTCATTCTTTTGTCCTGTGGAACTAGTTTCTGGTGCCAGTCAGGACAAACAAATAAATATAGAGTTCTTGTGAGGTCATATGGTGCAGCAAAAAAAAAAAAGTTTTGGTCCACTGCCAAGCTTTAATACACGTTAACTGGATTCATATGTGCTGAGAGTGATACGCCCCTGAAGAAGGGGAGAAATAGTCACAGCAGTGATTGTGTGACGTTTCCTCAACATGCACTTTACTGCAATGAAATTATATACACAAATTCAAACATTCTTACAGTCACATTCTCAATAATGACATTTTACATTGACACATGTACGTTCACCAGACACAAAAACACATGTGGTGGCCACATGCTGCACTTGCTGGAGACCGTGGCCCTGTTTGCACGCGTGCTCAATTCCACAGAACTTGCATTTAATTTTAAAATATAACAACAATACACTCCTGATGCCCTAAACATATTAGCAATGTATCATGAAAATAATGCTTCTGTCATGACCCCAACCAACCTGAAGAAGGGGAGAAATAATCACAGCAATGATTGTGTGACGTTTCCTCAACAGTTGTAGTTGTTGTTGGTGTAGTAGTTGTGGGTGTTGTTGAAGCAATTGTGGTTGTTGTTGGAGTAGTTGTTGTTGTTGGAGTAGTTGTGGGTGTCGTTGTTGAAGCGGTTGTGGTTGTTGGTGGAACAGCTGTTGTTGTTGGAGTAATTGTGGGTGTTGTTGAAGCAATTGTAGTTGTTGGTGGAGAAGTTGTGGATGTTGTTGTTGAAGCAGTTTTGGTTGTTGTTGGAGTAGTTGTGAGTGTTGTTGTTGAAGCAATTGTGGTTGTTGTTGGAGAAGTTGTGGATGTTGTTGTTAAATAAGTTTTAGTTGTTGGTGGAGTAGATGTGGGTGTTGCTGTTGAAGCAGTTGTGGTTGTTGTTGGAGCAGCTGTTGTTGTTGGAGTGGTGGTGGATGCTGTTGTTGAAGCAGTTGTGGTTGTTGTTGGAGCAGNGTTGTTGTTGGAGCAGCTGTTGTTGTTGGAGTGGTGGTGGATGCTGTTGTTGAAGCAGTTGTGGTTGTTGTTGGAGCAGCTGTTGTTGTTGGAGTAGTTGTGGGTGTTGTTGACACAGTTGTGGTTGGTGTTGGAGAAGTTGTGCGTGTTGTGTTTAGAGCAGTTGTGGGTGTTGTTGTTGACACAGTTGTGGTTGTCATTAGAGGTGTTGTTGTTGTTGAAGTTGTTGTGGATGCTGTTTTTGTAACAGTTGTGGTTGTTGTTGGAGTAGCTGTTGTTGTTGGAGTAGTTGTGGGTATTGTTGACACAGATGTAGTTGGTGTTGGAGAAGTTGTGCGTGTTGTTGTTGTCGTCGTTGTGGGTTTTGTTGTTGACACAGTTGTGCTTGTCGCTCGAGGTGCTGTTGTTGTTGAAATTGTTGTGGGTGGAGTTGTTGTAACAGTTGTGGTTGTTGTTGGAGTAGCTGTTGTGATTGAATAGTTGTGGGTGTCCTTGTTGAAGCAGCTGCTGTTGTTGGAGTAGTTGCGGTTGTTGTTGGAGTAGCTGTTGTTGTGGTTGGGGACGTGGGTGTGGTTGTTGTTGGAGTAGTTGTAGGTGTGGCTGTTGACACAGGTGTGGTTGTTGTTGTAGTAGCTGTTGATGTGTGTGGAAAAGTTGTTGGTTTAGTTGTTGTTGTGGTCGCAGCTGTTGTTGTTGCAGTCGTTGTAGGTCTGGTTGTTTTAACAGTTGTGGTTGTTGTTGGAGTAGCTCTTGTTGTTTGAGTAAGTGTGGTTGTTGTTGTTGGAGCAGCTGCTGTTGTTGGAGTAGTTGCGGTTGTTGTTGTAGTAGCTGTTGTTGTGGTTGGAGACGTTGTGGGTGTGGTTGTTGTCTGAGTAGTTGTCGGTGTGGCTGTTGACACAGTTGTGGTTGTTGTTGTAGTAGCTGTTGTTGTGGTTGGAGAAGTTGTGGGTGTGGTTGTTGTTGGAGTAGTTGTAGGTGTGGCTGTTGACACAGTTATGGTTGTTGTTCGAGTAGCTGTTGCTGTTTGAGTAAGTGTGGTTGTTGTTGTTTTTGTTGGAGCCACTGTTGTTGTTGCAATCGTCTTAGGTCTGGTTGTCTGAACACTTGTGGTTGTTGTTGGAGTAGTTGTTGTTGTTTGAGCAGGTGTGGCTGTTGACACAGGTGTGGTTGTTGTTGTAGTAGCAGCTGTTGCTGTGTTTGGAAAAGTTGTTGGTTTGGTTGTTGTTGTTGGAGCAACTGTTGTTGTTGCAGTCGTTGTAGGTCTGGTTGTTGTACCACTTGTGGTTGTTGTTGGAGTAGTAGTTGTTGTTTGAGTAGGTGTGGTTGTCTTTGTTGGAGCAGCTGTTGTTACAGTTGTTGTAGGTCTGGTTGTTGTAACACTTGTGGTTGTAGTTGGAGTAGTTGTTGTTTGAGGAGGTGTGGTTGTTGTTGTTTGAGCAGCTGTTGTTGTTGGAGCAGTTGTGGGTGTGGTTGCTGAAGAGGTTGTTGTTGTTGGAGGAGCTGTTCTTGTTGGAGTAGTTGTGGGTGTTGTTGTTGTTGACACTGTTGCAGTTGTTGTTGGAGTAGTTGTTGTTGTTTGAGTAGTTGTGGGTGTTGTTGTTGGAGAGGTCGCGGTTGTTGTTGGAGGAGCTGTTGTTGTGCTTGGAGACATTGTGGGTGTGGTTGTTGTTGGATTAGTTGTTGTTG